TTTTTTTTCTCTAAACACAAGCTACTTGTTTTCTGCTGAAATTCAGTAAACTGCTAAATCAATAATATCACTACCATACATAGCTCAAAAGAGAGTTTCCATTTTTGCAGCTCCCTTTGCTTCTTTGCGATTCTCTCACGGCGAAGGACATGTTCTTTATTGTGCTGAAAGAAAAGTCAAGACAGCGGAGTATTATGATGCCGATTTGGAGTGGGACAACGATGAGAAAATTCTAGAAAGCAATGTGGTGCGTCGTAATCATTTCCTAAACTATTGAATACTTTTTTTATTAAGCTTATGATGTTTGGCCACTTAAAGTTTGAGCTTTACAGGGTAAGAAATTTGAGCTTCGCGAATCCTGGGGCGAATCTTGTGCAGACGTGAAGGAGCCCGTGCTATGCATCGTAGATATTTCTTCGGGCATCGTTGCTGTGCTTGATCAGATTCCTGCAGAAATTTCGCCAACATATGTAGGTTTTCCACGGAATTTGCACATATTTGCGACTGACCCTGTAGAACATCCTCAGATAATACGCTATGTTGCATTTTGTACTTAGGTTCATCGCAGGAGTATCGCATTAATAAATGATCCCATTTACATTCAATCAAATTGGCAGAAACTTAGTGCGAAAAGTATGATAAATGCGGTACTAACATGATTACTTAATGTGTGATGTGGGCTTAGCAATGACAGTTTCTCCATCAAGCATTTTTCAGTTTATTCCAGGCAATCTGGGCTCCTGACGATGCTGGAATTGTTTTCTTTGGGCTCCACAATGATCCATTCAAGCTTGGAAGAATATACTGCAATAACAGACCGTTTGTACTCTTCCGTACATATTTTTGCCTGTTGAGACAGAAAATCGCTTCTTTCAGCGGTTCAATGTACTACTACGAATTGAATTCTGCCAAGCTTCACGTAATCGGTGACGAAAATATTGCAGCCGAGCATCCTTGTTTTTCGCCCGACGGGCAAACTCTTGTCTACTTCCAGCGACTTGCAGATGGACCGCATCAGGCTGTTATGGAGTGTGTGAAGGTATTTTTGGAATTACCTTTGCTTCTGAGCAAATGGTGAGAGGAAGGAGGT